TACCATTTGACCCAGCCATTCCATTACTAAGTATATATCCTAAAGAAGTGAGAGCCATGACAAGAACAAATATATGCACACCAATGTTCATCGCAGCACTATTTACAGTAGCCAAAAAATGGAAACAACCTAGGTGTCCATCAACTGAGGAATGGATAACCAACTATGGTACATACACACAATGGAATACTATGCAATGCTAAAGAATAATGTAAAGTCTGCAAAACACTGCATAACATGGATGAACTTGGATGACATTATGCTGAGTGAAATAAGTCAATCACAGAAGGACAAATATTGTATTAGTCCATTATTGTAAAACTCAAGGAAAGGTTTAGATGTGGAAGGAAGTTTTCCTTGTTGGTTACCAGGGGTGGGAGAGGACGGTAGGGAACACTGGTAGATAGATAGAGATAAGTATTGATGGGATTTGGGTGGAGAGAAGGGCAGTGTACCAAATGTGAGTGACCAACATGGTGGCATTGAGGAAGAGGAAGGCATAGAGAGGTACATGGGAGTTATAGACAACAAAGATGAATGCTTTTGCACATACAGTACTGTGTTTTCAGTGAAGGCAAACATGGGTATACGGGTAGATAGATGGGTGGACAGGCTGAACTATTAGGTATGTCTATGAAGTGGTGAGTGTACCCAAGACCATGTAGAGGGTTGGCAGACAATGGTCCTATAAGTGTATTTGTATGAGCTGAATTCCCAGGGGTATAGTAGAGCTGACAAGGGGCAAGGTTGTAGTCACTTCTTGGTCACAGCCAGCTACCCAGAAGGAATGAGTAGTTGGACCTCTGGGCTCAGGACCATAGTTGCAGGGGACATGAAGGTCAATTGGCATAACATATTATACAAAAACATTGTTCCACATCCTACTTTGGCAAGTAGCAACTGGGATCTTAAAAGCTTGCAACCAGCTATCTAGATGCAATGGGTCTCTCCTCATCCAGAGCAAAGAAGAATGAGGAAAACTACGTATTCATGGAAAGAATTAGTCCTAGCGACTGGTACACCATGCAATCCTCAGCCTATACGACTGTGAGACCAGAAGAACTAGATGGTGCCTGGCTACCACTGTCAACCACTCAGAGGGGGATCTATGTAGAAGATCCTGGATAGAGAGGGAGAATAATGTGGACCAAAACTCAAAATCATTTGGGGGAGAAAAAAAAAAAAAAGGTGGGCCAGGTTTGCTGGTCTGATAGAGCCTGGTGGAACCACTGAGACTATGGCCCCTAGCTGTCCTTCATTTTAAATTGAACCCATACTTTTTGTGGCTTCCAGCCAAACAAAAGACAGGCATATGGGTTGAACATTTAGCTGAGGTAGATACACTCCTTGGAGAGAACAATCATGGGAGAAAGAAGGGCTGTTTATGCACAGGGAGACAGCACAGGGGGCAGGAGTACATGGAGGGATGGACACAGGAAAGAGGTAACTATGGGGAGGAAGTGGAAGGGGAGCTGTTACATAGTGTTAAATTGTGGTCAATGTCATGAGACAAAGTGTATGTGAATTGCTGTATGGAAAGTGAATCTGCTCTGTAAATTTTCACCCAAATCAGAAAAAAGAAAAGAAAAGCATAGATGTACAAAATAAAAATTGATAATTAGGAATTAACCATGGATAATAGAGAATCTCAAAGACTTGTAAGAGACATTTGTTCAACTTTCAGGAAATGAATTTGAAAATCTTGATGGAATTGATAATTTCCTAGGAAAATATAATTTATCAAAAACAACTCCAGAAAAGATAAACATGTAAATGGAAAAATAGAGAAGGATGCTAAAGGATACCTCCTGCCCCCCCTTCACTAACAAAGAAGTATTCAGTAACCAAAGGAATACCTAGAACATTTCTTGTTAATCGCCAGGAGCAAGATATAAATAACCATGATCAGGTAGTTGCTAAGAAATTAGGTAAGATAAATCAACATTATAATTGGAAATTAGGTCCATTTATTATTTATTTGCAGGATTACAGGACTGCATACATAGGAAATCCAAGAAAATCATCTCAAAAACTGTTCAAATATATAAGAGAATTAGTGACATGTCTGAGTTCAAAGTAATATAAAAAAAAAGAACAGACTTCATAAGTAAAATAAACAGAAAAACTTAACTAAAGGTAAAATACTGCAAAGAAAGTGAAATACCTGAGATTAAAGTTTAAAAATCATTTTACTATAGGAAGTTTCACATACATAAAAATAATAGGGCAATAATTAACCCTCACATACCTATCAACCAGTGTCAACAAATCATGATTCACTTGCTCACCCACTCACAGATTATTTTGAAGCAAATGTATGAAATTACATTATTTCATTCTTAAGTTTTTAAAGATGTATATTTAAAAGATAAAAATATAGAGTCTATAGAACATAGAATTCATCATAGGAGGGAGAAAAAGAATTCCCATAAAAAGAGCTTTATAACAGGTCTTAGTGGGAAAACATCTATATTGGAAAGGAAAAGGGAGCTGGTAAGGAGTCAAACACTTGAAAAATAATTATAGCTCTTTGATGGATTAGTTCAAGCATTTTGAAAAAATTACTGATAGGTACATATAAAAATAAGTAACTTAGAAAACCCAAAAGCAATCATCAACCTCATGAAGAGCAAAAAGTTAGAACAAAGGAATTGTAATTATAGTACTCATCAGCTGTGAACAATATATAGCTCAGTCATTAATGTAAATTTTGACTGTTGATGTTGAAATCATGATATTAAAAAAATGGGTGAAGCAAAGTTTGTGGGTAGAGGATGAAAACCTAATTCTCAACCACTGTAACAGAATACAGATATTTGATGTTCAAATGTGGTATATTAAGAAATGACAGTATATGTATATTATTTATATAGAAATAAATAATAGGTGGAACAGCTAAAAATATGATATTTGCCTTTGGTAATTGGGACTACCTGTGAGGAGAAACATGGCCCAGGGCCACAGTTCATTATAATAAACCTTTTAATCATATTTCAAAACCATAATTATATATTGTCCCAATTAAAAACTAAAAAGTAACAATCAAAATAGAAATAAGAAAGGAAACCATACTCATCTGGAATACTGTTAAGAGTAATCCAGAAATGTTCACCTGGACTGTAAGTATCTTGGGACCACTGGAATAACTCAATTGCTATTTTATTAAAAAGAGCAAAATGAACAAATTGCCTTGTTAGAGCAACATAAGCTGACCCAAAGTGGATTTTAAGCTGATTTGGAGGTGGGTTCTTCTTTTTACGTTTCGGTAGGACTAAAGAGTCTGTTCTGATTCTCTGTTCTTCATGGACATATTTGATCCTTTCAGCAGATTTCTGAATGGATGCTAAGTGGGGGGTAATGTTTTTCCCATTTAATGTTTTCAAATACTGAACTATCTCCTTGTTGGTTTTTAGGGGGAAATTGTAACCACATATGTTAATGACATATCTCCAGTGTACATGTGAAGCTAGAAGTTCTCTCATGCAGATCAGTTCAGCTTGGAGTCTGGATATTCCCTCATAAGTGATATACTCAGACTTTGAGGCTATAAAAGCATTGGGGAAGCACTCCAATAATTGTCCCACATTAAGTTTAAATTTGTACGTAGCCTTCTTATCTAAATGAATACAGTAGACATTTTGAGGCATATAAATAGCTCAAAAGAGTCATTCAAATGTGTCAAAATTATGACCAATGGTCATTACATATGCCAAAGGGAATGCAGCTTCTTCCACAGACAGAGGAATTGTGATATAGTGGTTTTCCACCACATAGGAAGGGCAACGATCTAGTCCAAATGTTGTGGATAATGCATTTGTCAACAATACGCACTGTCTTCTTCTCCAGGGCTGCATTGCAGGCTTGTGATAAGGAAAGAGCTTGGTTTTCACCTCTATCCTCCATGTGACCGATGTTTGGTTGATGTTCTTGAATGTTGTATAATACTGTGAACATGATTATAATTTGAACAGTAATGATACAAAGATAATAGCTCCAAAACTTCACTTTTGTTTTTGACTCCTTGTAGTGGGAGTACAAAGGATTTTTCTTTAAGGTTTAAAAAAAGTCAGTTCCCCAAACATTTCACTTCTCTAGAAGTATTTAGATTTTCACCACTCTGTCAGTTGCACTCACTCTTCTATCTAGATCCAATCTGGCTGTTTTTCTCCTACATTTTGATTCCAGGCCATTCCTTTATTGAGCATCATTTTATAATACTTCAGATTTCTTGCTCTGAGTATATTTGGATCTTTTTTTTTTTTTTTTGGTCAACACATCCTCATATTCCAACTTACCAAGGAAGGCCACTCAATGTTACACACCGTTCCTTTTTGTCTTAACTGGGGAGGTGTGAGAGAGGGTTAATTCCTATTGCCTTTTTCAATTGTTGAATCAGCTAATCTGTCATAATTATGTCTAGTTACATATCTCTCTGTATCCTCCCCATCTTTTTGGCTAACTTCCTGAGTATGACCATCTGGGTATATTATAGCAATTTCCCATCTATCTTCACACTTTCAACCCTTTAAGTGGAAGAATCCTTCCAGAATTTTGCCCTCTCAAAGGAAGTTACAGTGCTCCATTAGACAGGGCCCATAGACATAACACCTTCTAGTTTGTGAGAATTCCGAATTCATTCAACTTTATATATATATATATATATATACACACACACACATATATATATATATAAATGGGTTTTTATCTAAAGTGCTCAGCATAGTGCCTGGTACATTTGGGCACTCAGTAGAATCTTCTGAATGAATAATTGAGTGGAGTGACTCATTCCCCTCATTTATTTAATTTGAAGGGGCCCTGACAACTTTAAATAACAGAATATCCTTGTAAGTTGCTATGGATTTTGGAGGAGACACTATCTCCATGTAAGCTGTAATGGATTTTGGGGGACTAAGTTTTAATATTATGATATACCACTCATACATAGTAATAATTTTTATTATTCATAAACTTTCAAGCTGTTGTGTTCACAGGTAGGCTCATGTGTCCTCAAAAATCCAGAATCATTGAGGGATATATTAGTCTGGTGAATGTTCTAGGTAATTGAAACATATTTCTTCACAAATAATTTTTAATTATTAATACTTTTCCTAAAAAGTAGTATATTTTTCTGCCTTCTTTAGTAATCTGTACTAAAAGTAATCAAACTGCTTCTTTATGACCTTCTGGAATCACATAGGAATATTATTTGATATTATTAGAAGTTGTTCTCTCTAATACACTCTATTTATCCTTTTCATTTGCAACCACTTTTATTTCCTCTTTCTGCCTCTTGACACTTCTATGATATTGAGGATGACAGTGACAACAATAACAACAACAACAAATGCATTGAGTTTGCTTTATATATATATATATATATGCAAAT